TCTGTTCGGCCCTCTGGGCCCCCTCTCCAGCCGGCCCCCCCACCTCCCCCCGGAGCCAGGCTGGTTTCGGAAATGCCCTTACAGCAGCAGGTTAGTGACCCGGCCGGCTCGGGGGCCGCCGACGCCGCGGGGGCACCGGGTTCTGTTGGGGGCTGAAGCCGAGAGGGTAGGCGGTTGAGCGGGGTTTTGGAGTGGGAACGGGGGGTTGGGTGCTCGAGGGAAATGAGTAAGCAAGAAAAATCTAACTAAGTAAATGCCCCGGCCTGGGGTCCTAGGAACCTCGGGGTGGGAGTGACCGCCCCAGGGGGTGGGTAAGGTGTTTACTGATATTTTTTCCTGGGGACAGATGGATGGGCGATTGAAAACCGGAGGGGGCTTCTCGCCAATGGCCGAGTTGAGCTCTGTTTTCTGTCTTCTTTCCCTTGTGCTGGAGGGGGAGGGGGGCGGGTCAGAGGGTAGGGTGTCCGTAGGATTCCCAGGCCACCCGCCACCCCCTCCCTTTGTCCCTGTAATTTATAAAGCGCCTTTGAGAGATGATTTAGGTCAGTATGCGGCTTCGCTTTTTGTTGGTACTAGAAAGAAGTGTGGCCCGGAGGTCTCCCCCTTTCTCCTTTTCTCTCCTTCATTCCCTTCCTCCATGCCTCCTGGTCTTCACCCTCGTGGTGAGGTTTGGCCTCTACGAGGCTGGAACCGAACCAGACTCAGCTAAATGGTTGCTTGATAATACCAGGCGTGGACCTCACCTTGTCTCAGCTCCAAATGGGTTTATATTTTGGAGAGTCAAGATTTTGCCGAGGTCTTTAAGAAAGTCTGCTCATAGGCAACACTTTAGAGAATGGGATAGGTTTGGGAATAATTAAAATTTTTATTTCCTCACTGTTCTCAGTTTCTCCCTGGGTTGGGTCTTAACTGCTTTCCAGCTCCAGAGAGACTTGCTGGGGATGTGTGATGTAGTCTAAGAAGCTCATCATTTTTTAGTGACTGGGGTCTGCCAGCAGGGGGGAAGCGGAGTACAGTACCTGCTTACACATACAGTATCCAGCGTGCTGGACTCGCAGCCACAAGAATATTCCATGCTTTTATTAGCATTAAATATTCTTACTGACTTGACCTGAGCGTGTGTGGGCATATTTTAAGCATATTGGCCCCCTACACAGTTCTGTTCCTATATCATAAATTAAACAACCAAATATTGACATACTTCTTGGATTAGATTCAGATTTATGGGGAGGGAGGTAGTTTTGATAATGGGAAATTGTGAGACCACCAAATTTCTTTATTAAAAAAAAATGGAGTGCTTGTTGAGCCAGGTCTCCAAGATTATCTAGCCAAATTTATTATATGTAGTTCCTTGTATTTAAGGTATAAAAAATAGCCCTTGCCACCTTCCAAGTTATTTCAAAAGTTTATCCTGTTTGCCATGAAATTATTATTCTGGGAATAATAATCCAGGGATATATATCATTTTGAATTTATGTATGTACAAAATATTTTTTGTTATTTTTACTTGTATGTGTATTCAGAAGCATGTTAATATAAGATTGCAAGGTATGCTGAATCATTGGTTAATCTATACTTTTAAAGAGCTATTTTTTTCTGGGAGGGTTTAGGAAATTTATCTAGTCATTGCATATAAATTCCTAAGTACTGAATATAAAGTTGAATTTTTTTCTTGCCAATATTATATTAGACTTCTGTTTAAGTCTTAGAATTTTGTTGATGTTCTTTTCCTAAGCAGGACCAACAGAATGGGGATAGCTAAGTGATTGGCTGAGCAAAGAACATCTAAGCACTTTGTGTGGAAGAAGAGGTTGAGAATTCTTCAGGTGGCCAGAGTTGCACACCCATCTGGTTCTGATTTGACGTTCTGTCTCAAGAATATCTAAGAACTTAACCAGGAGCAAATTCTTCACCTTTTTTTAATGGGAGAAAAATATATGAGTATTACCTTGCTACCCATACAGCCTCTAGCATTTACAAGTTGTATGCTCTTAGGCAAATAACTTCATCTCTCAAAATTTGGTTTCTTCTTCTGTGAAATAGGGGCAATAACAATACTAACCTTAAGGTTCTTTATGGTAATAAGAGTTCACTATGATAATGCTTGTAAAATACTTAGCACAATGCCCAATAAAATTAGTATTCAGGGGCAGCGCCTGTGGCTCAGTGGGTAGGGCGCTGGCCCCATAGACCGAGGGTTACGGGTTCAAACCCAGCCTTAGCCAAATCATGACAGAAAAATAGCCAGGATTGTGGCGGGCACCTGTAGTCCCAGCTACTTGGGAGGCTGAGGCAGGAGAATCACCTAAGTCCGGGAGTTGGAGGTTGCTGTGAGCCTATGTGATGCCCTGGCACTTTACTGAGGACTCTGTCTCTATTAAAAAAAAAAATTAGTATTCAGAAATATTTTTTCTAACTTCGAGAAGTAGTATAAGACCACATACACTCTGTCCCTTTGTTTACATACATGAGCAGAATGGTTAAAAGTTCCTAAAGAGATGTGTCATTAATTATTTATACCTGATTAATTTGGGTTTTAAAAGGTATAAAACATAGCCATACTAGTAAATGGGCAAAATAGGGACATGCCTGTATGGAACTGATGGTGTTGAACTGTCTGAGCATGTGCTTTGAATTGTGACAAATTTAGGTCAAATCCTCCCCAGTCTTTTGCCTGAGTTCCATTCCTCCCATGATTCCAGGGACCTGCCAACTTTTGGGTGCAGTTTATGCTTAGTGGCTTTACTAGAGCTGAACTCAGCCTTCACCATGCTAGAGACATGCACTAGATGAATTCAGTTTTACTTGGTGAATTGTTGGAAATGTAGTATCTCCAAAAAAACCTGTAGTCAGACTGAAGTGCTATTCACTGGGGCAGTCAGTTTCGTCATTTTCTGCCTCTTCATTCTAAAAAGAAGCTAAAATTATTCTTCTTAAAAAATTGGGATCTGTTAATGCAAGAGACCATAGCCTGTCACAGTCATAGCAAGCTACTGATGACACTTTGGGAAAGAACCCTCAATGCTTGAAATTTTCATCTAAGAGTGGAGGAACCATAGGTGCTATTTCAGCAGGGTCTCTTTTCCTGTACAAGTATAAAAGAAGAAAAGTGCTGGGTTCCTGTGGTTCTGTACTCAATAATCTTGCTTCTGCTGAGATATATGGTTGATGCCAAGTTTAAGCTGAGAGAGAATTTTTAGTCACTACATACCCCAAAATGGAAGTTTTAATATAATGCAGTGCCCAGACTTGGGCAGCACAAATAGCTCCACTATAATCAGAACCAAGGGCGCCACTCTAATCATCCTTTGAAACAAAGCACCCTTAAATGTGGCACTGAGCTGAAGAACCCAAGTTTGTGAACAGGAAAGGATTTTTTGTTTTTCTATAAATCACCACCTTGTGTAATAACTTGGAAGAGTAGATTCTGAGATTAATGTTGCTGTGTAAAGCTAACTTGAAAACAGAAAATAATACTCCAAGCTTAGACATGAATAAATAACACCTGGAGATGGGGGCGGGGGGGGGGGTAAAAGCTTTTATTGTGATTTCTCTGAGGCAAAGCAATGGTTTCCTTTCCTCTTCTATCTTTATTGCCATCTGCAAAGTTATGCCATTTACACCTTTCACCTTTTTCTGAAGGACTTGGACCGATTTGTCAAATATCTTCAGATATTCATAGTTAATTTTCAGGCTGGTTTTCTAGCTTAAGCTGATTTACAAATCCTCCATTTGTATGACTAGTGTATATCTTTCCCAAGCTAACCAGTTCTCATTCCCTTTGAACCATCTACTTTGTACTAGCATTTTTAAGTAGGATGAGTGAAAATCGGTTGCATATGCTCATCAAGTTAAGTCACTCATAGATTCTCATAAAACTAC